CAGTGGCAGACTTGTACCCACGATGCCGATTCCGATGCCGAGATTACGGTGGATTTCGCGCATCGCGCGTCCCATCCTGGGACACGCCATACGCGCCGTGGCCGCTATTAGCTTCGGCTTTGATTGGCTGCGTTTAATGAGCCGGGCGACACGCGTATATAAATTGCTGCTTGCTCGTCTTTGAAGATATTTCGAGGCGGTTGCAGGAGGATTCCTCCTCCTCCTCCTCTTCCTCCTCCTCCTTCGCGATGTTTCGACGTTCCTTTCTCGTCTGCGCGTTTTGCAGTATGTATCGCGGATGTCATCGCCAAATTTCTGCAAGTTCGTCTACGTGCCCGCCTCGCGGTCACGGACTACGCGTTGGCGTGTCTTGGCGACAGATGAATGGCTTCGAAAGAGGAAATGTGTCTCCTCGAATAAACTACGACATGCATATTAGCGACGAAGTTAGATACTTTGAACGATGCAGCTGGCAAATTATTACGGAACGGGATTTTATTATACTGACATAATATTTATTAAAAACACTCTCATTTTATTGTAATTAATAAAATGTTTATAATTAATGTTTGATTTCCACGTGTCTCCAGCAACTAAGCGTTCTTTTGTCATGCGTTTGTCATTTGTCGCGCGTCGACGCGTGCATAGAAACTAAGGTGATAGCGAAATGTTTTATAGTACCTATTACGGTCTGAATCTATCCGTATGTATCTTTAGTATTTTTTATTTTTGTTTTTGCTTACCTACGTGAATATAACCACGTCTTCTTACATTATGAATATAACTCTTAATTGCTAAACGTGAACATAGTTTAGGAATGAAAAGACACGATGTCGAAGATCGTGATATCAACATTCGCGAGAGTTGTATCGTAAAATTGAAGACGTCCTATGAAAATTATCCGAAGAATATGTAAATCTCTTCAAAGTAAGCAAATTTCTATTCACAAATTAATTCATATTATTGTTATACATCTGAAATAATTACATTTATAATTTTCCAGAAATACCGCGAAACATGAACGTAAAATAACCTCTCTAATAATTAGTCAAATGTTGATTTTGTAATTTTTGGAGTATCAGTCGATCATTTTACTACTCATTTTGACTCGTATCGAAACTCAGTATGACGTCAATCAAAAAAAATTCCCCGGAACGCTCTGATACCTTCGCAAAGAGTTGCACACAGAAAATCAAAACGAACTATTTCTTTTCGTTGCAATGCAATAAAAAGCCCACTAATACGCAATCAAGACGAGCTTCGAAAATATCTGCTTCAAGTGTGGAGATGTATCTTAGGATAAGACCAGCATCGGTACTTCAAAAGAATTACATCGTACTCGACACGAGAACTCTTTTAACGTTTGAGGATAAATTCACTCGAAATTCGAGATGCACGAAATCGAGCGAGGCCGAAGGTAGACGGCATGTCTTTACGAAGATTTTTGGATCAGAAACTTCGCAAGCGGAGATGTTCGAGGGATCCATAAAACATCGAGTCGTGGAGTTTTTCAGTGGTAAAAGTTCGACCATCATGACTTACGGCATGAGGGATTCCGGGAAGACTTATACGCTGTTTGGCACGTCCTCATCGCCTGGTATAATAACACGCAGTATTGAGCTTGTATTTTCGGCGATAAACTGCACTATAGCGCCGTGGTACAAACCGACGTTTCAGGACACCGTGCTTTGCTTGAATGAGACCGCGCGAAGCGTGGAGATGCAACGAACGGCACGAGTATTAAATGGACGATCAACGAATGTAAAACAGACATCTGCGGAGGCAAAAAAATTTCTGGAGAACTCACAGCTAGGAAATCCTGATAAATCCGAAGAGTGCAATAGCGAGTCAATGTACGCCGTTTGGCTGTCCTTCATGGAGATTCATAATGGAAACGTTTACGATCTGTTGGACGACGCGGAAACATGCTCTCCGTTGAAATTGCATATTTACGGTTTGCAAAAGGTACATGCCTTAACTGCGCTAGAAGCCTGTCAGATTCTCATGGCAGGCCAATCGAGAATGAATATTGTCACGACAGGATCGGAGAAGTCTCGATCACATATTATTTTCACTATGACGTTACTAAAGTATCAGAAGGATTGTGCAGCGGACGAAGTGATACTCAGTACTTTAACTTTTTGCGACTTGGCTGGCTCTACACAGTTCAAAAAATCACATATGCGCGAAGGAAGTAGCATCAACAACAGTCTGCTAGTGCTTGGTAGATGTCTCACGGCTGTGAGTCAGAATCAAATAGCACCATTTCGCCAGTCAAATTTAACAAGAATATGTCAACGAGCCCTCTCAGGTGAAGAAAATCTGAGTTTTATAGTGAATGTCGTTTTTCAGCCAAGTCTATTTGATGAAATACAGAGAATTTTTAATTTCTGTGATATAGTTAGAAAGCTAACAAATTATCATAAGGAATGCAAACAAATTTGCGAATTTGGAGAAACTATCCGTGATCTCGAAACATGTGATGATAACACTACGACGTCATCATCTAATTATCAAAGTCCATGTGAGATTGCAGAAACGATTGGCTGTACCGATTCGTTAGAGTGCAGAAATATACGAGAGCAGAATAGAAGACTGAAGCAAGAATTGGAAACTGTAAAAAGTGGTATGCTAAATTGCGAATACACAATTCGACAACAACTAGCTGATCATTATTTACGCATGATTGAAGAGTTAGAAGGGACCTACAAAGAGAATACCAAGAAGATCGAAACTGAGGGAGAAGATCTATTGAAATGGTCTCTCAAACAGGTCGAAAGCTTTTATAAGGAACGCATCGATAATCTGATGCAGAATAAGAAGAGAAAGCGAGGAAACTGCGGCGATTACATCGAAGATAATCATACACTTTACGAAGAGCTGGAAGCTGAGAATGCACAGGTCACTTCCAAGATGATGGTTCTGAAAGAAGCAGTGAAGAAATTGAGGCAAGAGAACAAGACGATCCTCTGCGAAAAGAACAAATATAGTTTCGAATTAGCTTTGGTAACGGAAGAATTGAAAAAGTTTCGACAGCTCACGCGAGCTATGATTCGTAAGTGGAGTGGCAATACTGAAAACATCGAGGATGATGCTGATTGTCTCATGAACAATCTGGAACGGTTAATGAATGAAAAAGTAAAAAGAACTGAGGAGAAACTCGAAGAGATGAGCGAATATATTTGTGTAATAGAAAATAAAGACACTGAAACTGCTTCTGGAGCGAAACAGAAATTATCAAAATCTAAGTATCTTTTGAATGATACTTTGAACAAAGTGGAAGAATTAGAGGAGGAACTTTTACAAGAAGCTTGCATCGTCAAACTACAGCATCACACACAGTTGCAAGAAAGACAGCTTGTTGAAGTTCGACAGTGCTCGAATGATACAAAAAATGAGAGTATAAGCGATAAAAAATGTGACCAATTAACAAATATTTCATTTGAGGATTATATAGCAGATAGCTCTATTCAGGATAACACATCTGTAGTGAAAAATCCCTCACGAACGTGCATGAACTCAACCACAATTAAACAACACGAGTTTAACGACTGGATCGTTGTTCCTACATTGTTTGCGGACCATGTCGAATCAATGAAGAAGAAACTGTCGAACGTGTCAAGCGTTGATCGCAAAAATCTCTTCGAAAGTAGTGGCAGTATGGATTGCAGCGGTTCTAGATCGAGTGACAGAAGTAGCAAAGATGACTCGGGTGTAAGTAGCGAATTACAAAGATCTACCAGCGTAAGTGATCACGCAAGTACCCGCGAAAATGAAGATAAGTGCACACAAACTTGTGTAATCGATAAGGACAGTCAGAATTTAGTGAAAGAAAACATTGAACAGCTCGAAGATAGCACATATTTGAATAAATGGAATTATCAAGAGACGGTACATGTTGCTGAATTGTCTCAGAACCTGGAAACTATTCGGGATGTGATTTATGCCTTAAATGAAGAGACTTATACGAATGATTATCAAATGCTGCACAAAGAAGAAATATTGGAACGACTGATTGAAGAAAAGAATGAAATTGGAATCAAAGACGATGGTGTATTCAAGATGACAGAAAATAAAATACAAGAATACAAACGAGAGATTTGTGAGCTAAGCCGCAAACTGATAGTCAAGGAAGAAAAGGAAAATCAAATTTCCAAATACCTAGAAAGATATATAAATAAATCTAGAACTTTTGAAAATAAATTATCTTTGTTGCGAAACCGACTGAAGAAAGTATTTAGTAGATGCGCAAATGAACACTTACCAAAGATCGAAAATTTGGAAGGAGAATTGTTACAAAAGACTCTACAGATAAGTGAGTTCGATAGAAGGATTGCTGAAATGCAACATGAGTTTGCGAAAGACTACGAATTGTTCCAGAAGATACATGATTTTGAGATTATTGTGAACAGATGTCAAAAAGACAAGAACGAGCTTTACACGCAGTTGTATGAATGTTCCGAGACCCAATTGACTCTCAAGGATAAACTGAAGAAATTAACAATGAAGATAACAGAAAGAGAGAGCGAAATTATCTCGTTGAAAAGTGAAGTACATAATACAGCAGATCTGAACGTTGCAAACAATGAGAAAGCGAGAAATCTGAGTGAGCAAATTACCGAAGCAGACGAAAGTATCGGTTTGGTTAAGGAAGATCTGCATTGTTGCAAAGATTTGCGTAAAAATGTGGAGAACACCATGAAAGCGGAAATTTATAATTTGAAATCTCGGTTGTCAGATCAAGAAAATAATACAACACTTTTGAACGAAATTTACAAGACTTATAGCGACAGCCAGGATGAAATAACTCGTTTAAAGATGCAGCTGGAGCATAAAGAATTAGAAATAACTCTGCTTAAAACTAATAAAGATGCTTCAATAAAAAGATACGAGATTTTGAAACATTTGCAAAATGAAATCGAAGAGAAGAATAAATACTTTGAAACTGCGAACAGTTCAAATAACTTGGAAAGATCTTTAACTGAGAATCAAAAACAGTCAGAAGAAACCGTAAAAGATCATGAAGCCAAAAATAGTTTCGCAAGCAGTTTCAGTTTTGTACCTAAACACACTAGTTCGGAGACATTAACTGTTTCGTCAACTCCAAGTGAAAAATCCACAACTTTTTCCGATGAGGCTAATGGCTTTGGTTACATTAGCATTAAATTGGATAACGAATCTTGTCAGGTCTGTTCGTACGTAATATAAAGTAGTTTTTATTGTAGAGTCAACAATTAACGTATAATGTCTAATTGTTATAATAGAATTTTGAAGAGTTTTTTAATTAAATTAAAAGTTGTTTGTTATTAGCATACATGTAAAGTTAAAAAATTTAATAATTACGAAAAAAGATCTCACATATTTAATATCCTACATCTTTTACATTTTCAGACAGACAACAGTGTAAAGTCAAACGTATATTCATCTGTATGCGAAACTGATAGTTCTGAAATGGAAGATAATTTTAATATGAGATCATCACATACCAAAGACAAAAAGAAAAGTCCAAATTGGATGAAAGTTAGAAAAATATCTGATAATACCACACTTTCGCGATTCTCTAAACACACAGATATTAATAGTAATTCAGAAACTGAGTGACAGTAAACATAATAATTAATGTTCGTTTAATTATACATAATGCTTGTATATAATTATTGATATTAAGGATTACTATGTGTATTTTTTAAGTAACTTGACATTTATTTGTGTTTCGTGTATTTTGTTTTGCTGAATGTTTCACATTTTAAACATATGTCATACTTTAAATTGAATAGAGAAAAAATCTCGCGCATATCTCAAATGTTATACATTTTAGTTCTACTATTGTACATTTAATTTGTATTGTTGTCTCTATTGTTTTATCGTTGTGCACATATAGCTCATAAATTAATAAACTTTCATGCAACCTTTACATATTTTTTCAATAATAGTCAACGAGAAAATTGCGCGAATTTATTGTGTATGAGAGATTACGTATAAAATATATTTTAAAGTTTAAAACAGTATTTTGAAGTTTTATCAATATTATCGCTTTTATTATTTTAGCCATAAACAGCTAATTGCAAGAAAATAGATGTGACGCGAGAAGTGAGCTGTATTAATATATTGTTATGGTATTATCTATAAGAAGCAATAATGTGATTGGGAATATTATCGGTATATCAGATATTTTCCTGAACAAGATCGCATGTAATGGCGAAATGTGGTTCCGTCATTTGTTACAATAAACGAACCACCCACAAACAAAGACGGCAACTGCGTTGAGGTTATTCGTGCAAGAGCGGACCCTGCTCCGGATTTTATTGCCAATATGCTATAATTTCTGACATTAGATGCCGCTGACGCTTTCGTTCACTCATTACAACTCGCTCCATCCCCGAACGTGATCTTCCCGCGAAAACGGCTATTCTGACTTCTCTCTCTCTCTCTCTCTCTCTCTCTCTCTCTCTCTCTCTCTCTCTCTCTCTCTAGGATACTGATAGATGAAATTATGAGGGAGGATATCGAAATTGGACCGCGACCTCCACTCTGCACAATCTTTTGGCTTCTGAAGATATTACCGGGATGTGCGATGTGATAAGGGGATACGAATAAATGAGAGAAAATCGTCTAATACTAGATTGCAATCTACTGTGAGTTTACGGACGTAAGAACAACGCTAAGATTACTTCCAGTATCGGTTCAATCGGTTCAATGTATTTTTTAATGTTAAATCTATCTAAACAGTCTATTTTTGAAAAAAAAAAATAAGAAGTTGATTTTTTTTAAATAACAAGAGATATTTAGAATAATTTTGATGTAAAAGGTACGCGAATATTTAATTATATTTTCAAAATGAATTCATTCCATTAATTATTTGCCGGACTATCAATCTGACTGTAATTATTTTCGTATTACTTTCTCGTAGACGAGCTTGTTATCGCGATGGAAAGAGCCACGAGTGGTTTGCAGAATCGCAGATCGCAGCGGCCATTTTCGCTAGCTCACCTCTTCGTCGTCGGTGATTTCTCGGGGTAAATGTACCGCGAACTTTCCTCTTTCAATTGGCAATAAGATTTGATCGTTGCGGGAAATATCATCCAATTTCCTTTCTCTCTTGGCCGGCCCGGAACATTGCCGCTCGTCCGCCTACTCACGTTCGCCCTCTAACTTCACCATCAACCACCCTCTTTCCGTTATCCTTTACACGCCCGGTCGCAAGACATAAAGATGGCGAAATCATCCCCTTTAGTTCGCTGGTTGAAATTGCACCAATGCAATATGCGTACTGATGCTTGTACGTTATACGTTTAGTACTTTATACAATTATCGGTTTTTTATCGATTAAAAAAGTTTCTGTTTTGATATGTTTTATTTTCTAATTATCTTATTTAATAAAAATAGAATAGTAAAAAAATGAAATTATTTAATAAAACAATTAAGATTATCTTCTATATTTGTGTTGAACATCTCATTTACAGATCAAATAAAACTAAATTAAATAGAAAAATGTATATTTTGTATTATTTAACTAATATATATAAAAGTTCGAATAAAATTCAGGACAACTGACGTAAGATAATATACACGTTGTTTGAAGGTTGAGCGAGCACTCGGAGGAGTAATCAGATAGAGGAGGAGAAAGTTATCCTGGGTGAAGTTTGCTCGAGACATTAGTTTATAATTCGGCAATCCCGGATCAGTATTTGTCACGATTAGCCGAACCCCCTTCCCCTTTCTCCTTCAACCGTTGGAATATCTGTTTCTGGGGAGGTCTCATCCCTTTCTCTCTTCACCCCTTCTTCGTGGATCCTGCGCGAGTTTTCATTAATTTCGCCCAATCCTGCCGAACTATTGTCGTAGTTACGCACAATTTCGGCACGACAATGCCCAGCTTTCTCTGGGATTGACGTAGACGAAAGGGGAAAGCGGTCGAGGGAAAGAGAGGCCAAGCCTGTAAGGAGTTATAACGATGTTGAGTGGGAAGGGTAAGAAGTTCTCCGGGTTCAAAGCCCGGGGTGGCATGGATTATATTTCTCGTGTCATTTGCCTTCTGAGTTAGACCGATGACGTTTCGCCTCGAATTTCTCTGTAGAAATCTTACTACGTGAAGCGAGAAGAGACTTGTCGAGAATGGGACTTGATAGAAAGAGTTTCAATATAAATTGAGAAATTTTCATTTATAATACCATGCACAGATATAATAAGCGCTATCGATATTTTTGTAAAGTATTAATAGAAAGACAAGAATGTAATTCTCTTATAATAAGCTATCGTTATCTTGGGTGTCACTGATGTTAATAATAATCAAATCAATGTCGTAAATATATCACTATAAATTTAAAAATTGTACAATAAAAAGTAACTCTACTGCTGATCAAACATTTATGATACACATTCACAACGAAACACGGTGATAAAGAATACAAGCTGTTGCAAGTACAAATACGGCACTCTTGCGAAAACTTTGACTCCGATATGGCCACTTTTGTCAACGTCGAACGATATCTTAAGAATTAGCCTCACGGGATTTCGAGGCGAAAAGCTACTGCCGGCTGTTGGCGCTACGTTGAAAACATATGTGTGAGTGTCACGGTAAAGCTACAAGAAGAGACGGGTGGAATCGTCTGGACCCATTTGCAACGTCACCCGGACAATTTCCAACGGACAAACTTCCATCTTCGAGCTTCGGGGGTCGGACCTGCGATATTAGAACAAACGATTTCATCTACTACATCCTCATGCCTCTTCCCAAGATCATCCCACCACATCGAGATCTATGCGCGAGCCTAGATATACAGAGACGATTTCATAAGAAATATCTCTGTTTACAAACATAATTCAATTACTCCAATACGATTAAATTAATATTTATATATAAGGTAATAGAATACAGTATAAAACATCTCGAGGAAATAATTTAAATTTATGTTGATGATAGAATAATGGAAATTTCATTAAAATAATGAATTTTAAATATTAACTATCATTATTAAAATAATTGTTAATAGAAACTGTTTTAATTAATTTGTAATTCTATTTATAAACATTAGTTCTGTTTATACATTCAACTTATTACAATTTTTCTGTAGTTGGAAAAGTGTATTGCGATACAGAGTGGAATTCGTTGGTGGTTATTTACCAATATTGTGGAAACGTAAGATACAGAGATTTGCGGTTATTCGCAGCGTTTTCATCACCGTATACGTAGGCACGTTGAGAACATCCCCCGGATTAAATACAACCACGCTTCCGGACGATGACTGCGTTGTGCCGCATCCACGTTGCACTGGATAAATCGCGATTGCGTAATATCGCGAGCGAAGCGTTTGCGCGAGTAGAGAATTGCGTAAAGGCAAATATGCGATAGACTATCCGAACGTCCCGTATTGTATGATTGTCTCCGTTCTCCACCCCCTTCTCCAACCATCCCTGTCCGCCTCTCGCCGCTGCCGCCACCGCCGCCGTCGCGTTTCGCAGGAAATGCCTGTCTTGCATTTCCCGGCATTGTAACCACCCCGTCGGCTTCGGAGTATTGCCAGCCTCCACGTTTGAATTGCATTACCTATTATTGCTTATTGTTCGCACGCTACGTGCCTCTCGTCTCCTGCGTGCCCGGATTTTCTCTCTTCGGTCCACCCCTTGATATTCCTTTCTGCTTAGCTGCGGCTTGACTTTGTCTTGCTCCTTTTTATTCGCTATCGCGAATATTATATCATTAATGTTTCCCGTTTCTTTTTAATAAGCATTATCTTATCGCTTAAATTAAGCTAAATTAATACACTGCCACGGTATTTAACTCCGCATCAGTGCAAACTTACATGGTCGCGAAGAAGAGCAATAACGATATATTTGATGCATTTCATTTGCACTTGTGAATATTTGCGGACGCTGAGGAAATGCCAGATACGAAATCGTGCACGCAACGATTTATTTCCAAGCTTGCCTGCCGACTTGTATGCTAAAAACGTACGGAATCAGATTCGACTGACTGGCCTGGAGCGACTGCCGTGCGATCCCCTGGCGCAACTTACCGAGATTTTATTCATTTTTACATATGACCGAGCAGGCGATAAGGAAACACCCGTGATATTTCACGTTTTTATGCGGTCGCTTTGCCTTGAGGTGTTGGCCGACCGCACACGCCCTTCGTATAGAAATGTTATACGCCCTGATATGCGAAATAAGTAGCCTCTGGCCATCGGAAAGGCCGCAGCCTCGTTAACTCGACGTCGTAATCCATGATTGTGAAGAAGGCCGTTTTTCTCGCGATCTCTTCGAACTCGAAACTTCAATATCACGTACATATGACATCGTTCTAAACCGACGTTTGACATAAAAAATCGTCGGAATTGTATTATCTTACATCTTTGACAGAAGCATCAACACTTAGGATATTTTTACACTTTCATTCATTATATTACACTGTTAAACTCAACGTTAAATTATACTAAATTTAAGTTATTTTTAATTATTTCTATAGATTGTAATCTCTAATATTATTTCCAGTTTCAGTTTATGATTGCATTTCAAGTCCAACGAACCGAATCGCGCAATTTATAGAACTGAAAAATGTATTTTGTAAATTTGCATATTGAACATTTTCAAGCACCAAGATC